AAATACCTTGGAATGACTCCCTTCTTGCAGAACCCAATACCTCGCGAAATGTTTGCCTGTAGTACGATTTAGTAGAATGGAGGCCGGCTTTCAAGCTAAGGTGGCCAGCTTCTCTGCTGTTTTCTACCGTGAGTGGCTAAGTTTGGGAACAATAAAATTAACACTTCTCGTTTATCAGTCATCCTCAGGCACGTAGTGGTGTTCAATAACCAATTGAAAGTAGGTAGAATGCTCGCGTATACCAGCATTCGGTGTTTAAGTGTCCATGACGGATGACGGCTGATCGGTCAGTAATTGTCACCCCGTTGTTCCTAAATGTGATCATGTACATTTCTGAAGGACTGATTGGCTGCGGCTATATGGTGTGCCTGGGGGCAAGTCGAAAATGCATGTATCGTCCCGGAGCCAGGACAAACAGGCGACTACTGCTGCTTACTTCCCTGACTGTCCGGATGATGAACAACGTCAGTCCTTCTGCAAAATTGATACAATCAGATAAGCAGCAACAGGGCATTTACACTATTGTTCTTAAAGACTCATATACCCACCACACTAAATGTGGCCTGATGTTTTGATTTTTTGTTTATTAATTAAATTTTACGGTGGTAGGTTTGGAGAACCAATGACTATCAATATTCGCATTTGAAGTAGTGGACCGAAATCATCCGGATCTAATACCTAACGGAAGTGCGCATGAGAGTACTTTGTTGACGTTTGGTCTGCTTACATAGGAAAATCCTCCCACGTGCCAGAACTGCTGTTGCAGGCTGAGTAGGTAACTTAGTCCAATTGTAAAAAATCAAGAGTCGCGTTCGAGGCATCGTGGTAACAGCCACTTGTTACTGTCAAGGGTTCGAAGTCCGCAGAGTTTGCGGATTTGTTCATCAGTGATCCAGTTGAGTTAGTCCAATAGTCCAAAATAAGTGTTGAAAAGTGTGCTCGGTAGACATTTGATACACTTTTAATTTTTTAGGGCAACCTTCTTAACAGTGGGCAGATCTTCAAAATTAACAAATTCCATCTATTGCAGCATGATAGATGAGTGGTACGTGAGCTATTAGTGTTGGCTATGCTTGTCGGAAGTTGTTTTGTCCACAAGCAGAAGGTTCCCTCAAATCACAAGTCTGGGAAGACGAAATGGATTCGAGCAACTTTCTTGAGCATAAGTAGCTTTACAGTGGCCGCAGCAAGTGCCGCGTACCATAGCCAGTTACTTAGAAGCAAAAAGTGAGGATGTGTTAAGTTAAGACATTGGAATAAGTAATCACTCGGCTGCCGCCAATCAGACGAGGCGGAAGTATCGATTACCTTTGAGTGTTCGCGCGTATGAAGCGGCGAGTGGGTCGATAACGTGGGAAAGGCTGATAACACGCGGCGTAGATGATTAGGCACGGGTGTTAGCCCTGGCAGAGCGAAAGCAGAGTCAGCGCGGCAGACTCCCACATGCTCATACTATGCCACTGTTGACAGCTTAGCTGGGCCTACCAAGCTCGCCTAATTTTTGGCAATCAACTATTTAATTAGAAATATTTTTATATTCAAAATTCCTATTAGTCTTGCTCTAGTCATTGGCTTACACTGTTTTATGGCAGTTATGAAAATTTCTAATTTTTGATCGTGTGCTCATTTTCATGACTTGAGCTAAACATTTACCCCACAATAAGAGGACATTTAAATTGCATAATTCCAGTATGTAAAATTTGTTCACTTACGTAACGTTTCCCGCCAGATCAACATGTTATTATGCGCGGTTGCTGTTTTATTTTAATCTCAAGCCAGCAAGCCAGCGTTCTCCGCTCTTTTAGCCAAATATGTTCATTTTTAATCAGCTCAACTGACTTCTCGCACGTAGTAGCTCAAAAAACAGGCAATTAAAACAAAATCAGAACGGGTGTCCAGGTAAGAACTGTGAGTCCCTAGTTTTTTTAAAATTATATCTTCAGCATGTCTCCAGAGTTGATCAGGACTAGCGAATTTGACGTGCGCAGTTGAAGGTTGACGTGATGAAAATGGCCCGTCATGTACAATGCAAAACTTACTCCACTGGATGTGACGTGCAAGATCATTATTCTGCGTCAACCAACCTAAACTACGACGACAGGAATATTTTGGGTGTCAGTCAGTCTGTCTACATGATCTGTAAATGACATAGTTACTAGTAGAAACTTGAATTCAAAGCAAGCGAAAACAGAAAAATTTATTTGTACAAAAAAAACTTCGGGAGAGCTTGTCAACCGCTTCCTCACTTTGCATGAATGAGATGACAATTGGAGAACACAACATTTTGAATTTTTGCTGAATCCATAATAGCAAGGTAATTTTTAACGCGGCGAATGGTCAATAATAATGTCACGTTTAAACTTGAGAAGGAAAGTTAGGGATGGGAATTAACAAAAATAAAAGGTTAATTAAATGTGGGCATGCAGTTACCAGGGCAGTTAAAGGTTAACCACATGGTCTAACTGTTTACATAGGTCGGGTTTCTCCCGCCTCTGTCGAGAGCCTAATGCTACATTCATATTGGCCATTTGCCGCGCTAAAAATGACCTTGTTAATAGGAATTCTATGAAAATTCAAAATACTACCTTCTCTAATTTTTACCTTATTCATGTAAAGAGAGGAAGCAGTCAACCAGTTTTCCTGAAATTTAGTTGCACGGATAAATTCTGCTGTTTTTGCTTGCTTTAAATTTTTTACCCGGGAAAAAATTCTTTAAAGTTCGGAAATTTGAACGTTTTATTTTACCTGCAGTCTACGCACCTGGAAACTGTGAGTACTAAACAGTATTATAATATATTAAATTGTCTCAAAGAGTGCCAAATGAAATTCTAAAACGTGTTTTGGATTCAAAAAGTGATTAAGCTAAAAGGCAATAATAATTTTCCTAATTTGTTAGCAACATACACCTTCCTCACATTTTATCTGTCTATCGGTTTTGAAAACATTTCAATTATGTGATCTTTAGGACCATAAAATATTCATAAAGCATCGTGTCTGTCAGTTTATTAATGTTTGTATAAAGTATGCAATGTGATCCATATCCACTGCACCTTTTTACGAGAACTATATCATTTCTCCTCGTAACTTATAGAAGTGTATGATTTTTGTTAGACTAAATGTCTACAATGAGCAGTTTTAATATCTTGAATGAAATTGAAGCAGTCGGTAGAATTTAAACCCATTCAATAATCTTGAAAAACAAACATTTAAAACCGAAAGGAACACGTTATGCACATGTAAAATGTATAGAACACGTAGCTTGCTATCAAACGAGTACGAGAAATATTATTTTGCGCATGCTTTTCATCAATTATTTTTTAATATATAAGAGCCACGAAAATAAATGAGAAAAATGCAATCTACTTATCTACCCGCTTTCCAGCCGTTTTATTTTCGCAAGTAGTCAGAAAAAAGCTCGTTCAAATGCCTGCATCGTAACCTGACTGAGGTAGCCTGAGATTAGACTGCGTGATAATAAATAGTACAACTTACGTAAGCAATTTTTTGGAATTTAAAACAGATTCTAAACTTTCCGTTGGTATTTTCCGAGGTAGAAAACCGACTGTAATTAGTCAAATATCCATACGTCAGTTCTTGTACTCAACGTACCGTGCTTCAAGATAGTGTACCAACACACTACACACTTCGCTATTATATTTGCTTTGGGTGTGCGAACTTTTTGCGTCTGCCTATTACTATGGAACAGGTGTACCCATACATTTCTGCTGCTACTGCAGTTACTTAAATATCATAAGCAGTAGTAATTAATGTTCATGCTTCCGAGTTATCTGATTATTGCACGGTTATGGCGTATAAAAGACTAATTAAAGGTCATTGACAGTAATTGCCTTAATCTAGCTTTTATAATGTGAAACCATGTTAGTCAATAGCTCATTTCTGTTGTGTAAAAGGCCTCGTGTTTCCACATTGCCTCTTCTTTGGAACCATCGGGGGCAATTTTTCGTCTCTTTTCTTCATCGGTTAAGAGGGTTCAGATAAATATATGCACACAAAAGTAATTGCTGATCACTTCAGCTCACGGATTTCGAGGGCCAAAGATGAAGAATGATGAGGCCTCTGGAATTGGTTTCACTCTTGGCTTGAGGTCATTATCCGAGCCACGTCGGTCTTCCGTGAAAGAAGATAGGCTGTCCCGTTCATCTTCACTTTCACCCGTATCTCCACTTTCGTTGAGATTATTCGGTTTTTTATCTAAAAATATGCATGTCAAACATTAAAATAACTTACAATGTGTTCTGGGGTTTTCTTGTTAATCTCAGAAGCTTACTCCAAGGCCAACTCGGTACTCAATAACTACTAGGCAGTTTACTTTTTAAGACGCGGATCTAATAACATTGGGTAATTATTTCAGATCTTTTTGAAAGTGTAAGTGCTAGGGAGTTCAGGGGATTGTAGCAGCTTTTAAAAGAACTGTTCTTTTGACTTTGCATATAATTAAAATCCTAAATAGATGGAAATAATGGTAACGTTAATGTCAGTCTGTTGGACCAACATTTGTGGCCTAACCTATTATGATTTTAGGATGCTCAGCAACATGTAGTTTGTCCAGTGCTCACACAAACGTGCCTGAATATATTCAAGGAAAAGTTGCTCGGGGCCTAGTACAGGAAAGATCAAAATATGTTTCATAGTAGTACTGTAACTGCAATTCCCAGCTGGTAAAACAAAAGAGACCTCTGTCCCCAAAATCTCTAGTGCGACATGCCCAGCCCTCACTTTTCATTTAGTTTGACGACGTACACGTGATACCTGTTCGGAAATTCATGAGTACAACTCGATTTTCCGAAGATCAACTTTTTATTTCACGTAGATAGTATTACCGGCGAAGGCAACAGAGATTTCAATGGCTATTTCTGGCTTAATAGCCGTCGTCAGCCGGTCATACCCAGACCCAAGTGGCGTCCCACCCGAGCCTCGAATTCGCGATCTTTTCTATCAGAACCAAACGCCCTAACTATTGAGCCACGAGCTCGTTGTCTTACCGGGTTAGGTCGAGAGATATTGACCCTCGTTGATGAACGTTCACCGGACCGCTAACGGAACTCATCTGTCCCGCTTTGCCTGGGATCTCGATGGAAACCCTGACAGCCGTAGTAGCTGGTAGTATAGGCAGATAGTATTACCAAAAATAACAAGGGAGACTAAAATGGCCATTTCTGCTTTATTAACCGTCATCAGCCGGTCATATCCGAATCCAAGTAGCATCCCCCCGAGCCTCGAACTCGTGACCTCTTTGATCAGAGTCAAACGCCCTAACCATTGAGTCAGTCTTTGCCTGTAATACTATTTGCCTACTCTGTCAGCTGCCACGGCTGTCAGGGTCTCAGCCGAGGCCGCAGGTAGAGAGGGACAGATGAGATCCGGTAGCGGTCGGGTGAACGTTCATCAATGAAATGAAAGTGTTCACCAGGAGAAGATTTTTTTATAGGTTTCGGCAAGTGCCGTCGTCTACCCATCTTCCAAGACTAAATATTCTGGCTGACAGCTTCCGTATTATCGCATTTTCTTCCGAGTGCGTAGCGTAGCAATATCAGATGCAGCGACCCAGCCGGTATTACCAGGCTACGCACACGGAATAGAGCAGCATAGAACGAGAACTGTGAGCGTGAATTTTCAGTCTCTGGAGATGGGAAGACGAAAATGCATATCACGGTACAAAGCTACGTGTGCACTATGAACATATGCAGTACGGAGATGAAGCTATCAACATGTGTTTTCGAACAACAATAAATCGTCAGGATTACTTTGCCCTTGTATGCGGATAAAGAAGATATCCTGATAAGCATATAACGTAGAGTCTGTATAAAAATCTGTCAGATAACATATCATAGTCTATTGTAAATGTGGTACAATTTGAAAGGCACCTGACATGATGACCAGCTAAATCCAAGTTTCAACCTCGGACGTTCCTGGTTAAGGCTTGCGAACTGATCAACCAAACATATCAACTAAATCACAACCGTTTGCAACATTGCACATTTTCCGCCAACATTATTCCTCGGTTCATGAGAAAAAAGTTAAAGCTTCTAGCTAATTGCATATACGGATTCTCTATGTAAAACGCACGGATACGTTTCTTAAAGCCTTAGATAAAAAAATGCATAATTAGAAGATCATAAAGATGGTTTTATCAGAAGGGCAAGACAGCAACGAAGAATTGAGGTTTTCTAAGTAAGTTACGTGAATCCTTTGGATTGTGATAAATATCCAGGGTCGCTAAGTTATTTTAAATTGCTCAGTGCAATTAAAAATTAACCATTATTGCTCTTTTCCACTCCTCTTTCTCCTCAGAGCAGGTAGGTAGAGAATAATCGAGGATTCTCTTAAAATGTACGCGAATCAATTAAAAGTTTTCTCGTTTAAGCTTGAAGTAAGCGTTATTGAGGGGACTGATAAGCATTCTTAATTAAAAGGCAGAACTGAATGGTGGGAGGGCAGGAAATGCTGACGTGACACAGGACAGTTGAACCAACCTTATGCCCACCTATTCCTCGTTAACAAAAAAAGAAAGCACTGAAGAATATTTTAATTAATTTGTCTGAGTCTACTGAAAATTAATACATGCTTAGCGTGACTAGAACTTTTAACTCTTCACATTATTAATGAGATTTGACTGACCATGCAAATTCTTATAGCATTTTCAAAACGTATGACGTACTTACCTTTCTCCTCCTGTTTTGAAGGATCTTCCCTAAAAAGAAAAGTATCTGCATGGATCAAAGTGCCTTATTTTGTCAAAATAAAAGCTTGTAATGCTATTCTTTTTTTCTAACTTTCCACATATCTACCAGTATCATTAAAAACGCAGGTGTTTGAATACTGACAGTTTTATTTAAATGATATAGTAAATTATTTTGTAGTTTTTTGTCTCGTTTTTACACAGTCCTTCAAAGTACGCTCAACTGCGAATGAGTTAAATTGTTTCCGTTCCGCAGACAGTGTGGTGAAACCTCAAGGTTATTGAATATCAAATTCTAATGCGGAATACAGACCAGAATCTGATAGTAGACTACTTCAGCTATCAAGAATGAATTGTCAATTATTGTGTTATTCAGTATCCCCTATCCCATTTAGATTATGGACTATAAAAAATCCAGGTGCCCGGAAAATTCAGTACGCCCAGCCAACTTTACCGATTTCTCCCCACCCCCGCTCCTAACTCGTACAAAAGAGGGTTTATGTGTTCCCCTTAACCATTTACGTGTGAAGGCACTGTATTCAGCTGTCTCCTGAGTATCGTATATCGGCAGCCCTGACAACAGAACACTTAATCCCAGCTTACAGGACAGCAGTACAAGCTGCTTTATGTCCTGCCTACACATAACCGTGCTTCCAAGGCGACGACGCGATAGAAGTGGTTGCAGAGCCACGCCCAACCCAACCCAACTACCTCAGCAAATTGCTCCGGATACTGCTCGGGATAATCACAAAACCACTTTTTAGAAAGAAAATCGTAGCTCTTAGGTTTCCGCCGCCTCAGGCGCGTGCCGAACCTGTCCGATCTGCTGGTTTCCTGTTAATCTTCAGGAAGCCGGGAGCGAAAAAGCAGGCAGTGCAATTTTACTCCATCGAAACTCATAGTATATTTTTGGGAAGCCAAATTAAAAACGCTTGAAAAAAAATTGGTGGTTGTGTTCACCAAGCATATAACGTTTACACTTTTTTGACTTAGCACATTTTGATCTCAATAAAATGAGTATGGCAAAAGTAGCTTATGTAGGCCCACTCATATATCCCTAGTCAAACTCTTTGTCCTACAGAAATGGTGGTTATAGGGGTTATGCGGGTGAGAAAATTGGATAGGCAGTGAAGGAAATTTGTAGAAGTGTAAAGTGGAAAAAATGTAGTTGGGTGTGTTTCCCGCGGCTGCTGGGAGTAAATTGTTCCGCAGGTAAATTGAAGGTGTGCGCGACGCTTCGCGCCCCGGACTATACTAATCTTACTCCAGAACGATAAGTTGGACCTCAGGTAAATTGAAGTAGACGACCTCCTTACCACCATTTCAATCTTTTGGGAAATTCACGAAACCTGCAATTTGATAGTCGGATAAGTTAAACTATAATACAGATTAGGAAAATCTACAGATATAAATCAACAACTCTTCTAAATACCGTAAAATAAAAATGCATTTAGCATTTATTAAGGTATATTCTACTGCGTGTCCTAATTCTCCACCCATAAAACCCTATAACCACCGTTTTCGTAGAAAAACATGCTGGGAGTAGGGATTAATGAGTGGGCCTACATAAGCAACTGTTATCATGCGTTTTCACCAATTTAGCGTTTGCAGCATGCATATAGCTTCTTATACCACCAAAGAACGTGAATCTAGCAGTATTATCACTTTAACTTAAGTCCATGCGACAAATGTAAGAAAAGAATGAAATTATTTTAACCGATTGCGAAATTCTCTTTCTTCCGCTATTCATTTCTCTCTATTTCTTGATATATATAGTGCAGCAACTTAAAAAGTGGGTGGCACGTTTACGTTAGACACTTACTAAGAGGTAGATCCACACAGATTGCGGTAGGTCATTAAAAATACAGTTAGCCACTTTTCCATTCTCTAGAATTATGTGGTCCTTTTTAAGAAGGCAATTTCCTATGACTTCGATATGACCTCCTAACTGTTTAGTAATATTTCAGATATAAAACAATGCATTTCAGATGATCACCTTTTCTAAGTTCAAGATTTTGCTACTAATATTCTGGTCCTATCAAGTTTCTTGAGCCGCTATCCATTTCTTGTACAGATGGAAAGTTACTTCCAAATTCCAGTGTAAGCCATTGGTGCCATTGAAATAAAAATCGCGTTATTTGATATTTGCTGGTGATAGTTATGTGGGCCCTAGGGACAACAACCGGAAACGGAGATAGGGCTATTAAATGCGCCTTAATTAATGAAAGTTTTTGCCTCGTTTTCCCACCAGAAGGCAGTGGATGTGGGAATTTATACTGACGTAGAAAAACATGGGCCATTTGTATTATAAATAAATTCGCCCTCCATTCACCACGGAGCATTCTAGAAAATTCTTAAGACCTCATTTATTGTGCAAGTCGAATTGTAAAGTAAAAAGTAAAAAACTGCCCAAAGCGAATGGTGTCCATGACGGCAGTATTTAGCCTATCTTATCCATCATACTTTAATCGTTTCATGCAAAAGGCAAGGACTGGAAGTGCCTACGTTAGCTGTTCAAGTTCGTCATTAGTTTGGATTAACGGGTCGCCGGACATTTGCCGTCCCTCGCTGACGTCGGCGTCATTTAAGTCAGTTTTTTTCTGATCCTCTTCAGTATCCTCATCAGCTCCAGCGGCCTCGGAATTAGCTTTGTCTGCCTCGCTGCCCTCTGACTTCTTCTCCTTGCCCTGTCCAGTATCGGCCAGATTGTCCACAGCGATGGCCAAGAAGACATTCAGAAGGATGTCTGGTGACGTATTTCGGAGTCAAGGAAAACAATTGGGCTCAAAATACTGTGAAAAATTAGCAAATGGACTGAGGATATACCATCTATCGCCTCACAAGCAACCAAGCTTTGAGACCAATGCAGGATTGAGTGATTTAGTGCCTAGAAGCACACGTCTAACGTCAATGCTTAAAAGAGAAATAGCAATTCAAGTGTACACTTTTGCCGGTGTAACAAGTTGTGCTATTTCTAGGAGAAAAAATCCATGCAACCTACGTTTATTCGATATTCTCGATGATCTTTGTATGCAAATATTTTGTAACTTATCATCTTTTCTTCAAAAAGTTGGGAATTCTGTTTCCTTTAAGAAAAAGGTCCCACTACTTATCTTCTTACTACTTTTAGCCGACATAGTACGTTTTAGAAGTATAGGGCTACCTGCAATTGAGGTAAAGGTGGTTCGCATAAGTGATGTTCCTCACCAGTTTAATCAAAGGTCCCAAAAACCCTGACCAAACTTATTCGATGCACTTTCAAATCTAAAAATTCGTTAGGCGGCCTGATAAAAGTACAGAATACTGTCAAGCTTGTTCTCACACGGAAAATCTAGGTGGTTGAGTGCTCCTTTCTCCACGTGACTGAACGTATTGTACTCAAAATACTTGTCGTCTAGCATGTCTGTTTCAAATATCCCATTTCAGTCCGTAGGATTCAGGATTATCTACAAGTTTAAAAAACACAGCTGGCCTGTTTCATTCCTAGGGGTTTCTCAAATACAGAGTGTGGTTCCTATCCGGAAAAAGTCATTTAGACTGATTTACTCAGGTGACATTTTTCTGGTACTGTTGGAAAACTACCGTAGATTACTATTTTACATTTCAAGCCATCCGTAGGACCTCGAAGATAAAGTTGTGTCTCTCTCTCTTTTTCTCGCTTTCTTGTGATGAGTTTGACTAAAAATTTGAAACGTCAGGTAAATAAACTTCTTATTCCAGCAGTCGCGTCCTCATTTATTTTGGACTCCTTCTAAGAGCAGATTTATTCACTTTTATTGTCATCGATAGGCTGCATTAGTATGCATCCGAATGCCAAAAAGCTTCTAAATAATTTTACTGTGCACTGTTTAATTCCTTCTGGTAACAACATTCCTTATAAATAAGCACTTTTGTGACAATCACAAAATCACTTTCAGACTAGGAAGTGCGTACAAATATGTAATAATCTCGCAGGAAATCACGTTTTTGCTTCATTTAGGTAACGCTTTTTTTACTCAAAATCGTATCGAAACAGTTCGGTTAACAGAGCACTCTCAGAGAAGTGTGCTGTGGGTTTCCCTCTAATTTTTAATTAAGTGCCATTTTTGCGGGGGAGCACCTTTAACAATATGCTCTAAAAGGTGTTGCCACATACATACATATATTTGTTTTACGTTAAGCTTTCTTGGTACAGTGGATTCCGTCAAGCGCCGATAAAAGTACTCCTCTTTAGAAACACATAAAAGATATATCAGTAAAATTGATAAAGGATACAATTGCCGCAGATGAAGAGGAACACGTAGTATATGCACACAAGTATTCCGAATCTTTGATTGGAATATGACGTTATGCCGATATACATGGCCTCATTCCAATCTTCACCCGTCAAGATCTAAATTGAAAAAAATACAGCAATATGATGAAG